CCAGATCTATGATCGTTAAGCGGGCTTATGTATCGCTTAAGCGATTCTTCCTAAAAGAGTCTTTGTCGCTTAAGCGATATTCCGGGATAGAATGAACATCTGCCCAGATGGGTAATCGCTTAAGCGATCTTATGTATCGTTAAGCGATGCTTCGTAATAGACTTGGTCGCTTAAGCGATCATTTTTGGAAAAGTCTTGGTCGTTTAGAGATATATGTGGTCGGTCAAATACGTAATTGTTTGGTACCATGCCATTCTAAGTTAATTAATTTTGAAATGACTGTGATTGGGAAACATTTGTACATCATCATTTCCCTCCCAAATCCGAAAAGAATTTGTATTGCAAAATAAGTAATTATATCAATCTAATTCATCACAAATCAAAATATAAGAGACATCAATGTAACCTGTTTATCGAAACACAAAATAAAAAATAGGCATGGGATGCGGCAAATATTGAAATATTTGGACAAGCTAACCATTAGCCTCAACTGTGGTGAATCAAATAATCACACCAGTACATCACACGTTGTAGTGTACACAAAATGAAACAAAACGCTAAAAACTATTATCCAACTTGGGTGAGCAAATGTCACACCATACATAGTAATTCAAACTGCTAATGAGATATCTATATGGACAAACAAAAATATCTCCCAAATGTTAGATCCAATTCTTACAATGATTCTGCAGGCACAAGGCTTTTGGCTGCCGCAAGAAGAGCCACAGCACAACGACTGGACTTGAGAATTTCATACACTGCCTTTAATTTACTTTTTGATGCCAAAGACTTTAATGTCATTACACCTTTGCACAATCCCTTTATGCAGTGCCTCTTTCTGCCAACCAGCCTTTGAGAAATTTTCGAATTTTGCTTGCCAGTAACCTGTCTGAGATCATTGTTTGGTACCATGCCTTCCCAATAGCCTTTATTGCAGATGCTTCCTTTTGCCAAACAGCCTTTGAGAAGTTTCTCTCATTGTTTGCTAGGAAACTCCAAAATTATTCGGCACACACCGCAGACATGTCAACTTTTGTAAATAAAAAAAAAAACACATAAAAAAGTTAAGAGTGGGTAGGTGAGAAGTTCACTCAGTCCGTCTCTTTCGGTAAGCCCATATAAGCATGACACCTACAGCATCAGCACCACAACCAAGTATCAACATCAACATCACATAAACTACAAAATTCAAAGTCCAACTTCATACCTTTTGATTGGGTTTGGTCACTCAAAACGGATCCATGCCCATGGAAGCAGTCGACAGCCCAGCCCTCTGACAGTCTCTCATTGTTTCATCATTCAAGTCATCCATCGGGGTGTTGGTATGTCGAACTCAATAAATTTCAAGCATATGCCCCATATTCAGCACTATAATAGGAAGAAGACATAGTATTAGAATAAACTTATAAAACAATTGTATTATGTAAGTTAGTTTTATACAAAATTTACCTTGACTCATTTATTGGGCCGGTGGAGCGCTTACTTGGCCACTTTCCGGTTAGTACTTGATCACCCAAGTGCCCAAACATCCCGCTGTTATGCAACAGCCGAGGGAACAACCTAGATAGTGGCTCTAACTCGACCTCCAACTGCTTGTCCGACAAATAGTTGGGTTGCAGTCAAGGATCTTCACAACCCCTCCTTTAGATGCGCGACGACTGCTATCCAGTGCATCTGTTTGACGAGAATGATGTAGTACACTCTTTTAACAAAGGCCCAGCCGTGGCCAATTTGGGCCAATCCCCCCGTAATAGTGTTAATGTGTCATCAAAATGAAAATCATCAGGGATGCAGTTCAACTGTTGTGGGGCCAATGTTTTCGCTGGTCCTTTGTTGCACCACTAGCAACGACATTTTTAATTAAAGTGCGATATGCCGAAATAAGTGTTTGGCCAAATGCCACATCGGTGATGGCACAGTCGGGATAAATAGATCACCATCAGTAGTCTGTGTGTAGCCTGTCAGTGCCAATATCTCACGATGTGCTGCATCAAATAAAAACAACAGATAAGTATGGAAAACACAGGCAAAAATAAGGAAAATTAAGCGAAAATAACTCATCGAGTCCTCAAGCCACGTGCCCATCATCAACAACTTTTCAAACCATTCCGGGGATAATCCCATGTCTTACACTTTATATGGGCATTACCCTAATCCATTGTAATAGGATAGAAGAGTTTTTTCTTTTCCCTATTGGCCTATACAAATCGACATTTGAGTCCATTTTCGCTTGCCCACTTCCTCCCCCTTTCTCCATTTTACATCCCGCTTCTCGCCTCCACCTCGCCCTCCTCCATTTCACGCGCCCACTTCCTCACCAACCTCCTTAACCTCCTCCATTTTGGTTCTTCTCCATTGTTTCTTAATTTTCTTTCTTCTTTACCTGTGCATACGATGTAAGGCGATTTCACAAACTTGCTCTTTAGCTATCTCTTTCAGCCTAGTTTGCACTTCAAACCGCCTTAATTCTCACCAAATTCCTCTTCCATTGTACCAACTTCCTCCTCCACTGTACCAACTTTCTCTGCCAGCTTATTACTTTCTCCTCCACCCTTTTCATGCGCTCTTCCAACTTGTCAAACCTGTCATAAACGGCTGTTGTAAAACTTCAAACAGGCTGTTATGAGGTCAACCACCTTATTCTCCCGACGCTGATGTCTCGGCAAAGCGGTACTTGTTGTAAGGTTTGTTGAGGCATACGAACCTCTTCCTCGCTCTTCTCCTCCCATCTTCGGGCCTCCGCATTGGAGTTCATCATCCTCGACATCAACCCGTTGTCAAGCGTGGCCTGACACTGCCATCACATGCGTGACCCCTTTTAGGTCCGATCAGTGGTTATCCGTTCATCCCTTTCATCCTCCAATGCTTTGAAAGATGTGACATAGTCCCCTTTGCTTCATCCCCAGTAGCGGTGAGAAACGGAAAGACGAATCCCTACAAAAGAAACAAAATCAATCAGATTGAGCGACATTTTAAAGCAAAGCATATTCAAAAGCTTAATCCTTTAATTACCCTAGTTGCTTCAATCTTAATGTTATTTGGTCGTAGTCCAATGGGTACACTCGACATGCCACCGCAACATCCTAGGAAATTGCGTTGCACATCACCAACTGTTGCCTCTCCCCCCGCCTTAGCTAAGATAGGTGGCCTCGTACATCCAAGCCTACATTGTAAAAAAACAGTCCATATCATAATTAAAACACATATATTATAAAAAATATAACAAAAAGCTATTAATATTGACCTGCATTGCCCATGGGAAGCCAAACAAATTGTACGTGCTTGGTTTTTCCTTCCACCCATTGGGCCTGCTTTAACGCCATGTCTGGTTTTTCAGGTTGTTGATGGTTCGCTCCAAATGATATCCGTGCCCACGGATAAGAATTAAAGAACTTCAAGTCGCTTGCAAACAACAACCAATCATTCTCAATAGCTTTTGTTGAGTCAACAGCCAATAAGATTGAATGTAAAAACAATAGCAAGCACATTTATTCTTCTCCATCATTAAACCAAACTGTTTGTAGCCTCTTCTCAAAACCTGTCCTGTAATAGACTTTGCCCCTGCAAAACCTTCTTACGAAAACTTTGGCTCCGGACTCGTCCTTATTGCGTCTGCCTCTGCCTTATCTAGCACTTCCCCGCATCCTAAGCCCGTCACCAAGACATATTCCATCATCCCAAACAATAGTGGCTTTCCGTCACCACGAACCACATTTTTTTTTTTTATTGCATTTTACTGAGTGCAGCAGCATGTAATGCACTCCCTGCCGCCAAAAGCCTTTTTCCAATTTGTTCCGATTCTTAAAAACTGACCGAAACAAGTGCGACGGAAATTCTTGCACCATGCCTCATTCCAGCTAAAATGTTCCCTTATTTGTCAAAAACATCCCAACTCGACCTCACCGTACCCCTTGCAGGGAAGTAGGGTACCTTATCACTTATAAGCTCTAACTCATAGTCTCTAAGTTTACGGTCCGCACAATCTGCACAACGATATAACAAAATGTCAGCAACAAAAATAAACCAAACAACTAATAAACAAAATATCAGCAACAAAAAATTACCACTGTAGTCGCTTAAGCGATTTCAGATTTCTTAAGAGTCTGACTTGCCTCGTGCAAGATGCTTAAGCGATCTAAAATGCTTAAGCGACAAGAGTAAACTGAAAGAATCACTTAAGGATCATAAATAAAAGAGATTAATCGGTTAAGCGATAAATGATCGCTTAAGCGACAGTACAAAGCAATATTCCCAAAACAAATACTACCTTTTCTTCTCGGCCTCCTCGTCGCCTGCATTCTCGCCGGCCTCCTCCTCGTCGCCTGAATCCTTGGACGACTCCTCATGGCCTGAATTCTCGTGGACTTCTCTCTGGCTGAATTCTGCTGACTCCTTGTCTTCAGAACGTTTGCCGATTCTCCTTTCTTCTTGTGCCGTCATCGCTCCTCTGCTGTGGACCACTTTCATGATCGGATGATCCACCGCAGCAGCCATGAATGCTTGCGCCACAGAATCTAGGATCAAAGTGGCGTTGGGTTTTCCTCCTCATTGTGAGTGTCAGCCATGGTTTTGGATTGAATTTGGTGTCAAAGTTTGCAGTTTCGATCGAAAATGTGGACTGTATCACCGGAAATCGCACAGATTCGTTTAGGATTCAAGAAATCGATCGGAAATAGCGACTATATCGCCGAAAATCGCGACTATATTCGTTTAGGGTTCAAGAAATTGATTTTAGGATTAGTGTGCAATTTGCAGGTTCGATCGAAAAAAATCACAGTGTCTCCCTTTGGTTCAGGAAATCTCTTTTTGCCCTAATGAATTTTGATTAAGCGAGGTGAATAGGGGGGGTGTTTTGATAAATTTCAAATTTTAAAAACTTTCATTATTATGATTCGGCCCACATTGTTTAATCTTTTCATTTTAACTCATTTTACGTGTTTAATGAATCCTAACTATGCCACGTCAGCTTCTCTAAATTTAAAAAAAAATGAAAAACATTTTCAAGACCATTTTATTAAATGGAAACTTGGGATGGCCCCGTAGCTAAATTTTCTCCATGTTAGGTATTGCGCCATCTCAACCACAGAAGCAGAAGTAGGATCATCATGACAATCGCCCGTCCTATAGGACCCGCATGTTCCTTTAGGATTTCCAAAACTGGCAAAATGCTACTGTTCTTGGGGCACTTGAGATTCACAGTTGCCAAGGGGTAATCTTCGCCAACAAGGGCACACATACCTGAGATTTTACGTTTTGAAAACTTAATTTTTGTTGGATCTCCACCTTTCTCCTCGAAAATAACTAGAACTTTTCCAGATGGCTTGAACCAAGACCGTGGAATATAGTACCTGCTCAATCCATATGATATGGATACGGTTTAAGAGTGACGATTGAAACCATTGTCTAGACCTTTGGCAATGACTCTTTTATTAACCAATTATATATACTTCTCTTGAGCATTTTAAAAAAGGTGGTGGCTCATAATTGATGGTGAGAAACAAACAATTAACGCATGAATTCCTCTTTGCTTGAAAAAACGTGCCTCTATAATCACATTCTTGAACACACTGATAATCAAGACGGCTTTCTACGGGCCAATATCTTCTCCATTTAACCAAGCTAGACCTTTTCCCATCTCAAGCATATCTATACCAATAGGATCGTCCCCGGGTGGTTGCTCAACAATAATTCTAATTAAAAAATCTGTTTATATATAATGTGAGATGAAAACATGAATATTTTTCAGAAGAAGTTACCTTGTACCATGTCAAAGTCTGATTTTTTGGTGGCTCCGTAGTTGATACCCATTTTACACAATTTGGCTTGTATATAACTAGGCTCTCTCCTTCCAATCCTATGTGGAAAATTATGAACAAGGAAAGAGGTAAGAATTTCAAAATTCTAAAGACTAATTAAATATCGATTAATACAATTTTCCCAACATTCCAACACCTCCTCAGATAAGATTGAATGGCAGGAAAGAGAAGCTTCCAGTCCACTGAAAATGGTGGCACTTCAGATACCATATCAATCATAGCATCTATCGACTGTCTTAACAATAATTAAAAAGCAATATGGTCCAACATCTGGAGGGCACACTATGCAAAGGAGTAAGATATAATGCAGCACCCAATTAGCATAAAATAGTAACTAAATATTAAGTGCATTTTGATCAGTAGGTGTTTTGCATGACACTTACAAATTTTAAATGGTGTCGTAATTGAAACTTTTAATGGGACCTTCTGAAAATTTCTATAATCTTCACTCATCAACTCCATGTTATTTTATCAATATTATGACAATTCTTCTAAAACTGATACTGACAATTTGTCTGTTAACTCGTCTTACAACTAAATTATTTTTCAAGTTTTAAAGTAGCGCTAACCATTAGCCTCAACTGTGGTGAATCAAATATATCACACCAGTACATCACACGTTGTAGTGTACACAAAAATGAAACAAAACGCTAAAAATATTATCCAACTGGGTGAGCAAATGTCACACCATACATAGTAATTCAAACTGCTAATGAGATATCTGATATGGACAAACAAAAATATTTCCCAAATGTTAGATCCAATTCGTTACAATGATCTGCAGGCACAAGGCTTTTGGGCTGCGCAAGAAGAGCCACAGCACAACGATCTGGACTTGAGAATTTCGATACACTGCCTTTAATTTACTTTTTGATGCCAAAGACTTTAATGCAATTACCCTTTTGCACAATCCCTTTATGCAGTGCCTCTTTCTGCCAAACCAGCCTTTGAGAAAATTTTCGAATTTTGCTTGCCAGAACCTGTCTGAGATCATTGTTGGTACATGCTCCCAATAGCCTTTATTGCAGATGCTTCCTTTGCCCAAACAGCTTTGAGAAGTTTCTCTCATTGTTTGATAGGAACACTCCAAAATTATTCGGCACACACCAGCAACATGTCACTTTGTAAATAAAAAAAAAAACACATAAAAAAGTTAAAGAGTGGGTAGTGTGAGAAGTTCACTCAGTCCGTCTCTTTCGGTAAGCCCATATAAGCATGACACCTACAGCATCAGCACCACAACACAAGTATCAACATCAACATCACAAACTACAAAATTCAAAGGTCCAACTTCATACCTTTTGATGGGTTGTGGTCACTCAAAACGGATCCATGCCCATGGAAGCAGTCGAAGCCCAGCCCCTTGACAAGTCTCTCATTGTTTCATCATTCAAGTCATCATCGGGTGTTGGCTATGTCGAACTCAATAAATTTCAAAGCATATGCCCCATATTAGCACTATAATAGGAGAAGACATTAGTATTATTCGAATAAACTTATAAAACAATTGTATTATGTAAGTTAGTTTTATACAAAATTTACCCTTGACTATTTATTGGCCGGGGAGCGCTTACTTGGCACTTTCCGGTTAGTACTTGATCACCCAAGTGCCCAAACATCCGCGTTATGCAACAGCCGAGGGGAACAACCTAGATAGTGGTCTTCGAACTGACTCCAACTGTTGTCCGACAAATAGTTGGGTTGCAGTCAAGGATCTTCACAAACCCCTCCTTTAGATGCGCGACGACTGCTATCCAGTGCTCTGTTTGACGAGAATGATGTAGTACACTCTTTTAACAAAGGGCCAGCCGTGGCCAATTTGGGCCAATCCCCCCGTATATAGTATTAATTGTCATCAAAATGAAAAATCAGGGATGCAGTTCAACTGTTGTGGGCCAATGTTTCGCGTGGTCCTTTGTTGCACCACTAGCAACGACATTTTTAATTAAAGTGCGATATGCCGAAATAAGTGTTTGGCCAAATGCCACATCGGTGATGGCACAGTCGGGATAAATAGATCACCATCAGTAGTCTGTGTGTAGCCTGTCAGTGCCAATATCTCACGAGTGCTGCATCAAATAAAAACAACCAGATAAGTATGGAAAACAAGGCAAAAAATAAGGAAAATAAGCGAAAATAACTCATCGAGTCCTCAAGCCACGTGCCCATCATCAACAACTTTTCAAACCATTCCGGGGATAATCCCATGTCTTACACTTTATATGGGCATTACCCTAATCCATTGTAATAGGCATAGAAGAGTTTTTTCTTTTCCTCTATTGGCTATACAAATCGACATTGAGTCCATTTTCGCTTGCCCACTTCCTCCCCCTTTCTCCATTTTTACATCCCCGCTCTCGCCTCCCACCTCGCCCTCCTCCATTTTCACGGCCCACTTCCTCACCAACCTCCTAACCTCTCCATTTTGGTTCTTCTCCATTGTTTCTTAAATTTTCTTCTTTCTTTACCTGTGTGGCAATACGATGTAAGGCGATTTCACAAACTTGCTCTTTAGCTATCTCTTTCAGCCTAGTTTGCACTTCAAACGCCTTTAATTCTCACCAAATTCCTCTTCCATTGTACCAACTTCCTCCTCCACTGTACCAACTTCTCTGCAGCTTATTACTTTCTCCTCACCTTTTCATGCGTCTTCCAACTGTCAAACCTGTCATAAACGGCTGTTGTAAAACTTCAAACAGGGCTGTTATGAGGTCAACCACCTTATTCTCCCGACGCTGATGTCTCGGCAAAGCCGGTACTTGTTGGTAAGGTTTGTTGAGGCATACGAACCTCTTCCTCGCTCTTCTCCTCCCATCTTCGGGCCTCCGCATTGGAGTTCATCATCCTCGACATCAACCCCGTTGTCAAGCATGGCCTGAACACTGCCATCACATGCGTGACCCCTTTTAGGTCCGCATCAGTGGTTATCCGTTCATCCCTTTCATCCTCCAATGCTTTGAAAGATGTGACATAGTCCCCTTTGCTTCATCCCCAGTAGCGGTGAGAAACGGAAAAGACGAACTCCCTACAAGAAGAAACAAAATCAATCAGATTGAAGCGACATTTTAAAGCAAAGCATATTCAAAAGCTTAATCCTTTAATTTACCCTAGTTGCTTCAATCTTAATGTCTATTTGGTCGTAGTCCAATGGGTACACTCGACATGCCACCGCAACATCCTAGGAAATTGCGTTGCACATCACCAAACTGTTGCTCTCCCCCCGCCTTAGCTAAGATAGGTGGCTCGTACATCCAAGCCTACATTGTAAAAAAACAGCCATATCATAATTAAAAACACATATATTATAAAAAATATAACAAAAAAGCTATTAATATTGACCTGCATTGCCCATGGGAAGCCAAACAAAGTACGTGCTTGGTTTTTCCTTTCCACCCATTGGGCCTGCTTTAACGCCATGTCTGGTTTTTCAGGGTTGTTGATGGTTCGCTCAATGATATCCGTGCCCACGGATAAGAATAAAGAACTCAGTCGCTTGCAAACAACAAACCAATCATTCTCAATAGCTTTTGTTGAGTCAACAGCCAATAAGATTGAATGTAAAAACAATAGCAAGCCACATTTATCTCTCTCCATCATTAAACCAAACTGTTTGTAGCCTCTTCTCAAAACCTGTCCTGTAATAGACTTTGCCCCTGCAAAACCTTCTTACGAAAACCTTTGGCTCCGGACTCGTCCTTATTGCGTCTGCCTCTGCCTTATCTAGCACTTCCCCGCATCTAAGCCCGTCACCAAGACATATCCATCATCCCAAACGACTAGTGGCTTTCCGTTCACACGAACCACATTTTTTTTTTTTATTGCATTTTACTGAGTGCAGCAGCATGTAATGCACTCCCTGCCGGCCAAAAATGCCTTTTTCCAATTTGTTCCGATTCTTAAAAAACTGACCGAAACAAGTGCGACGGAAATATCTGCACCATGCCTCATTCCAGCTAAAATGTCTCCCTATTTGTCAAAAACATCCCAACTCGACCTCACCTACCCCTTGCAGGGAAGTAGGGTACCTTATCACTTATAAGCTCTAACTCATAGTCTCTAAAGTTTACGGTCCGCACAATCTGCACAATCGATATAAACAAAATGTCAGCAACAAAAATAAACCAAACAACTAATAAACAAAATATCAGCAACAAAAAATTACCACGTAGTCGTTAAGCGATTTCAGATTTCTTAAGAGATCTGACTTGCCTCGTGCAAGATGCTTAAGCGATCTAAAATACGCTTAAGCGACCAAGAGTAAACTGAAAGAATCACTTAAGCGATCATAAATAAAAGGATTAAGGTTAAGCGAACAATGATCGCTTAAGCGACAGTACAAGCAATATTCCCAAAACAAATACTACCTTTTCTTCTCGGCCTCCTCGTCGCCTGCATTCTCGCCGGCCTCCTCCTCGTCGCCTGAATCCTTGGACGACTCCTCATGGCCTGAATTCTCGTGGACTTCATCCTGGCCTGAATTCTTGCTGACTCCTTGTCTTCAGAACGTTTGCCGATTCTCCTTTTCTTGTGCCGTCATCGGCTTCCTTGCTGTGGACACTTTCACTGATCGGATGATCCACCGCAGCAGCCATTGAAATGCTTGCGCCACAGAATCTAGGATCAAAGTGGCGTTGGGTTTTCCTCCTCATTGTGAGTGTCAGCCATGGTTTGGATTGAATTTGGTGTCAAAGTTTGCAGTTTCGATCGAAAATGTGGACTGTATCACCGGAAATCGCACAGATTCGTTTAGGATTCAAGAAATCGATCGGAAATAGCGACTATATCGCCGAAAATCGCGACTATATTCCGTTTAGGGTTCAAGAAATTGATTTAGGATTAGTGTGCAATTTGCAGGTTCGATCGAAAAAAATCACAGTGTCTCCCTTTGGTTCAGGAGAAATCTCTTTTTGCCCTAATGAATTTTGATTAAGCGAGGTGAATAGGGGGGGTGTTTTGATAAATTTCAAATTTTAAAAACTTTCATTATTATGATTCGGCCCACATTGTAAACATTCTACACCTTATATGTTTGATACTGACGTAAAAGAACTATATGTTTAATATAAATATAATAACGGTCGTGGTCCACTGAGCGAATCGTAACCCCATATGTTTAGCATAGACGTAAACATTTTACACCTTATATGTTTCATACTGACGTAAAAGAACTATATGTTTAATATAAATATAATAACGGTCATAGTCCACTGAACGAATCATAAACCCCATATGTTTAGCATAGACGTAAACATTTTACACCTTATATGTTTCATACTGACGTAAAAGAACTATATGATTAATATAAATATAATAACGGTTATGGTCCACTGAACGAATCATAAACCCTATATGTTTAGCATAGCGTTAATTGCTTAACCGATGCTCTGAAATACAATAAATAATATTCGAATACATAAGATCGCTTAAGCAATCCTCTGTATTTACACAGTCGCTTAAGAGATTCGTCTATATCGCTTAAGCGATTCTTTGCTTTTACTTTGGTCGCTTAAGTGATGCGTTTGTATCGCTTAAGCGATTCTTTGCTTTTACTCCTGGTCGCTTAAGCGATCGGTAATCGCTTAAGCGATCTAGTCCACGGTAGAAGCCTAGATCTATGATCGCTTAAACAATTTTCGTAAAAGACTCTTGGTCGCTTAAGCGATCTGAGATCGCTTAAGCAATCTTGTCCGAGGCAGAATGAATCTGCCCAGATCTATGATTGCTTAAGCGATCCATTTGTATCGCTTAAGCGATAGTGATTTTCATAAAAGACTCTTGGTCGCTTAAGCTATCTTGTTCGAGGCAGAATGAATATCTACCTAGATCTATGATCGCTTAAGAGATTCTTCCTAAAAGAGTGTTTGTCGCTTAAGCGATTCGGGATCGCTTAAGCGATATTTTCCAAGGCAGAAGGAACATCTGCCCTGATGGGTAATCGTTTAAGCGATCTTATGTATCGCTTAAGCGATGCTTCGTAATAGACACTTGGTTGCTTAAGCGATTTGAGATCGTTTAAGCGATCATTTCTGGAAAAGTCTTGGTCGTTTAAGAGATATATGTGGTCAGTCATATACGTAATTGTTTGGTACCATGCCTGTCTTTAAGTTAATTAATTTTGAAATGACTGTGATTGGGAAACATTTGTACATCACTCTTTTCCCTCCCAAATCCGAAAAGAATTTGTATCGCAAAATTAAGTAATTTATATCAATCTAATTCATCATAAATCAAAATATAAGAGACATCAATGTAACCCGTTTATCGAAACACAAAATAAAAAATAGACATGGGATGCGGCAAATATCGAAATATTTGGACAAACTNGTAAGAGCTACCTTTGCGGAATTAAATACTTCATTCTTGCAGTCAGGCAAGTGATATGAAGCATTTCGAAACTCCACTATCATGTCAGTTTTGTTATCCGTGTTAGAAAGAAAGGCAGCACATGCTCCTGAAGAATCAGTATACACATCGGCCTATACAAAACAACATGGTTATTGTGTAAATATAACCAAACTGCATAAGGGAGTTAAGCAAAATTAAAATTTGATAACAGAATAACAAAACTATTAATTAAATCACCTCTTGGGAAGGACCGTGTGACAAGTTAATTGGCTCACCACTCAGCACTATTTGCTCACATAACTTTATAGCTCTATGAAGATCCTTGAGGTGTTCCCATTTTGGATTTCTTGGTAGACCTAAAAACAAACCATTTAATTAATAATGAATACTACTAGTTGAATACACATAGTGCCAAAACAGATGAATCATGGGCATATTAATTACCAGAAACTCACCGTATTCATCAATTGGTGCATCATAATCATAACTTGTGGTCATATAAAGTCCTCCCGTCCGACCGAAATTTGTTCCACCATGATACTGAAAAACCATATAAAAGAATAAATTAATGAACAATTATGGACATTCTTCAAACATTAGTCTATTGTTCAACTCTATTGTTCAACTAAATACTTCAAGTAAGGAACAAGTAAAACAAATGTTGCATCATTTGCATGAAATAGAAGATTAATTAATATACCATGTAGTAGTTTTGTACACTGCCACCTTTTTGGAAAAAGCGAGCAACAGAAAAAGCAATATCTTCAGCTGGTCTACGAGGCGCGTTGCCCCCAAATGCTTGAAACCTGGAAAAGGTAAAGTGCTGATTGTATTATGCTCTAGTAGAAATCCAAAAAATTATGATGCATAGTAACATACGAAAATTGAAATTGATTTCTAAAAAGCATAGGCGATACAGAGACAAAATTCAACATTACCATCCAGGCCAATTCTCAGTCCAAATTTTGGGCTTGTTCTGTGAAATAGGTGTGAATTGGTCACAATAAAATAAATTACAAGTATCTATCTGCCAAAAAATCAAAAGAAAAAAAAATGGTAACTTTTAGCTGAATGTAAGATTGTATTTATTCAAAGCATAAAACGAGTATAAACTTTGTCGCAAGTATTATAACATTATTAAGTTACACAAATGCAATATAAAACATATGTTGCTATGGAATTTTCCAGGATAAATTTTGAGAAAATCAACAAACTAAAATAAAACTTAACTGCGACCATTTATATAGCATATATGCAGTTTTACGAAAGGTTCATATCTGTCATACATTTCAAACACTATGTAGACTTGATTTAGTTAGCCATATCAGATAAGATATTTTATGTCAAGCACAAGCCTATTCAGCTTGGTGTTTCAAATGATAAGAAATAAAATGGTAAATCCTCTTGTTCATATCATATCATGTATGTCATATTGTACTCGTGCCGATTCAGTAAGTGTCAAATATTTGACACAGAATAAAACTTAGAATAAAATATTCAAAGAAAGCAGTCAGATGAGTCAGCTTTGTAGTTAGTTAATGTGCGCAGTCATTCAGCAGAATATATTTCAAATGATCACGCACTTTACTCACCTGAAGGATTTGTTCATTCACAATATCCTCATCATGTTTGTAGATTGACCAAAGCTCTTTATGGACTTAAACAGGCTCTTAGGGCCTGGTTTGATAAACTCAAGAAAGCATTCCTTGGATGGGGGTTTGTTCATTCTCTAGCAGATCCTAGTCTATTTGTGTATAAAAAAGAAGGCATATTGATGTATGTTCTAGTGTATGTGGATGATATTTTACTCACAGGAAATGACTCCAATCTGGTTCAGAAAATTGTCTCTGATCTTAATACACAGTTTGCATTAAAGGCTTTAGGATCTCTCAAGTATTTTCTTGGTTTTGAGGTGACAAGAAATATGTCATGAATTCATATGAATCATTAGAAATATGCAAAAGATCTACTGGTTAAAACAAATATGGTTGATTGTAAGCCTTGTAATACCCCAATGGCTGCTGGAGCTAAACTTGCACTTGAGGGCAGTGAACCTTTTGAAAATCCAGCACTCTACAGATGTACAGTGGGTGCACTGCAGTATTTGACATTGTCCAGACCTGACATTTCTTACTCAGTAAATAAGCTTAGTCAATTCTTAAAAGCCCCTACACAATTGCACTGGCAGGCCTGTAAAAGGCTACTGAGATATCTTAAAGGCACCTTCAATTATGGCCTTTAATTCTGTCCTAGTCATAGGTTTAATCTAGAGTGTTACACAGATGCAGATTGGGCCTGCAATCCACTGGACAGAAGGTCAACTAGTGGCTGCTGTGTGTTTCTCGGGTCTAATCTCATTCAGTGGAATTCAAGGAAGCAAAAGGTTGTGGCTCTCTCTTCCACTGAGGCAGAATATAGGGCTCTTGCACAAGGGTCCACTGAAATAGCCTGGTTCTGCAGTCTTTTTTTTGAAATTGGTCTTAAGTTGATTGAAATTCCTATTATCTGGTGTGACAACCAGAGTGCAGGTTCACTTGCCTCCAATCCTGTCTTTCATGGTAGGACTAAACATATTGAGCTAGATGCTCACTATATATGGGAACAAGTTACAGCAAACAAGGTTAAATAATATTATATAATATTGTCAGAGTATAATATGATCTCAAGCTAAACTTTATCAAAAGTAAGAAAGAATACGAGTCTCATAATGCCTTATCAAATATGTAGCTACAAAGTGTACATAAAAATTAACCAATTCTGTTCGTTTCAAGAATATAAATGATATTTACAGATTGTGTGTATATAAGGCATCCATAGATTGTAACTATTTAATTACAATGCTTCATGTATCCTAATATATTTTTAGTATGGTCTCTTATCAAGTATGTTCCGTATGGACAATCAAAACTATATATTATGATTTTGAAAGAAAAAGAACTGGTGAGTCCACAAATTCATACAAAAAGAAAATACGTAAGAGTACCTTGCGGAATTAAATACTTCATTCTTGCAGTCAGGCAAGTGATATGAAGCATTTCGAACTCCAATATCATGTCAGTTTTGTTATCCGTGTTAGAAAGAAAGGCAGACATGCTCCTGAAGAATCAGGTATACACTTAAAAAAATTATTGACATTTACATATCAAGAAAAGTAACTCACCGGTAAACCCAAAGTCATGCTTAGTCATTATTCCCGGCTTTCAAAGGGATGGGTGTCTGATGCCGTTTGCACTACCTAATATTTGGAAAGATAAAGTCAACAAACTGATAACCTACACTGAATCATCAAAGCAAAGAAATGCATATAATCTAAAACATAGTTTGTAGAATTATGATAATACACATAGTAAGTCTTTGCGTTAACTGGAAAGTCAATTTCGAACTCATATTTTCTTACTGTTTTTTTTTTTTAATTTTTTTTTTTCTTTTTTATTTTATTTTTTTTTTTATTTTTTACGAACTCCTCTTCACCATATATCTAGACTTACAAAGATACTAAAAGATCATCAATTTTTAAATGGCATGATTTATAATTAGGGAAGAGCAAAATAACTTTATCTTAAAACTTTTAGACACATCATTGATTCATAATATTGATATAGACGAAAAACAATAAACAAATGATAAAATTAAAGTCATACAGCTGAAAGAGAACCTTGCAAGAAAATAAATATAAAAATAACCACCTTGAAGTTCCCCATTCACAAAAACATGGAGTGCATGACCCTTTGATTCAATTTGAAAAACTGGGCGGGCTCCTTTCTTTAAGAACTCTTCATCTTTATTAACATTAATACTGTCAACATGGAAAAACTTCAGTTTGAAAAACTTTATAGTATATCACATAATCTTGTGGTGGAAAGAGAACATGATTATTGAAAATCCACTAACACAATAAAGACTGCGGACAGTTAATAAACCACAACAAAAAGCAGGGACTAGAATTAGGCCCTGTTGTAAATACTCTGCAAAATTTAAATAAAAGGAAGCTAGCTAATTAAAGCAAACACACACTGAACATGTAAGACCAAAAAAGAAAAATAGTATATTTAAGAAATAAGAAGAATAAAATACGTTGTCTGCATCCTTCATCTATTCTCCCCAGATCAACTTTTGAAATAAATAAATAAATATATATATATATATATATATATAACTGATAATATATATATATAACTGATAATATATATATATAACTGATAAAATCATGCTATTAACTTATTTTAGAGTGAGACTATCTTGTATTGTACCAAAGATTGTCAGAAGCAAATTTTGTTGTGTCAATATGATCCACAAGACCATTTTGCATAAAGTCAACCTGTCCCCAAATCTCAACTTTCTCCCTAAATATTTCCCATCATGTAGCTTGCAAATTCTCAGGTACCATTTCAACTCTTGAGGTTGGGGAACTTACCTGTAAAATTCTTCGTGTAAGTGTGTACAGTAGTAATTAGGAGATAACATTAAATATATATATATATATATATATATATATATNTTCTACTTTTTCTAATTCTTTTCTTATTCCCACTGCCTTGCCTACATGTGATCAGCAACATTCAACAGTGTCCACCTCCTGCCCTTTATCAGGAAACACCAAGTTTGTACCTCCTCTGTCCTCTCCTACTGTTACACAATCTACTCACTCCTTACCCTGTTCTGATCAGGATCACAGTCCACCTATAAATACTCAGTTTTCTGTTTCTGATCCAAGCCCTACAAAGTCTACCTCACAATCTGACCAGTCTCCAAACAGCTCACCTTCCTTAGATACCTCTCGTAAAAATATTCATTTGATAGCTGATCTGCCTTTTGACCTTCAGTCTTCATCATCACAGCCCTCTCATCCATCTCACTTAGTTGATACATTGAAAGGTATAAATCTTACAGTAGAACTTCCTTTTAACTCCCAATCTTGCAACATTCACCCTATGCTAACTAGGTCTAAAGCCAAAATTCACAGTTCCATGTTAGCTTCCTCCACAGTCTCCCCTTCTTCTCCTGATTCAACTAAACCTACTAGTGTCTATGAAGCTCTCAACCATCCTTCTTGGAAGCTGCCATGCAAAGTGAGTTTGATGCCTTACAGTCCAACAGTACTTGGGAACTTGTCCCTACTGAACCTAACATGAATATAATAGGCTGTAAGTGGGTTTTTCGGGTTAAACAGAATTCAGATGGTTCCATCCAACGGTATAAGGCAAGGTTAGTTGCTAAAGGTTTCCAACAAATCCCTGGAGTTGATTATCTTGAAACCTTCAATTCGGTTATTAAATCACTACAATTCGAGTTGTGTTGAGCCTTGCTGTCACATATGATTGGGATATTCAGCAGTTGGACATTAATAATGCCTTTTTAAATGGTGAGTTAAGTGAGACAGTCTACATGACCCAACCTATAGGATTTGTTGATACTCAAAAACCTTTGCATGTATGTAAGCTGGTTAAGGCTTTATATGGGTTAAAACAAGCCCCTAGAGCCTGGTTTGAAAAACTGAAAACTGCATTCCTTCAATGGGGATTTGTGTCTTCCATAACTGACTCAAGTCTGTTTGTTTATAGACTGAATGGTCAGACATTGTATGCTGTTGTTTATGTGGATGACATACTAATAACAGGAAGTGATCCTGAGTTGGTTGAAACCATGGTTCAAAAACTGAAAGTTGAGTTTGCATTGAAAACTCTAGGGTCTCTTAACTACTTTCTAGGTTTTGAAGTACATAGAACAACCTCCAGCATTCACATGAGTCAAGCAAAATATGCTCAAGATCTCTTAGTCAAAACATGAATGCTAGACTGTAACCAGTGTTCAACTCCTATGGCAGCAAGCAACAAACTTACTCTTGAAGATAGTGAATGTTTTGACAAACCAGGATTGTATAGAAGCACAATTGGGGCCCTGCAATATTTGACATTATCTAGGCCTGACATTGCTTATTAAGTAAATAAGCTAAGTCAGTTTCTTAAGGCCCCTACTCAGCTTCACTGGCAGGCCTGCAAGCGACTCCTTAGATATATCAAAGGAACTATGGATTTTGGTGTTACATTTCGAAAAATTGGCAGACTTCACCTAGACTACTTTACGGATGCTGACTGGTCAGGTTGTGTCCAAGATAGGAGATCTACAAGTGGTTGCTGTTTATTTCTTAGTCCAAATCTGCTTCAGTGGAGCTCAAGGAAACAAAGAGTTGTAGCTCTATCCTCCACAGAAGTTGAATATCGTGCTCTTGCACAAGGGGCCACAGAAATAGCCTGGTTTGAAGTCTTTTTTCTGAAATGGGACTGGTTCTTCACACTACACCCATCGTTTGGTATGATAATCAGAGTGCTGGATCTTTAGCCTCTAATCTAGTTTTTCATGCAAGAACTAAACATATAGAATTGGATGCTCACTATGTTCGAGAGCAAGTTGCAACCAACCATATCAAAGTTCAATATGTACCCACTGACTACCAAAAAGCTGACATTTTCACCAAAGCATTATCAACTACCAAGTTTGAGGCTCTTCGGGACAAATTGACAGTGGTTGGTTATTCTAGCAATACAGATGCTAAATCTGCCAACAATGATAAAATGGCAGATAAAATTGCTGCTGTAGAAGCTGACTGAAAAAAAAAAATACAGAGAAAAGAATGAAGGTTGATATCTGCTTTTTGTAATCTGACTGAATTGTCTGTATGTCATTCTGAGTTTCTGATAGTTGTGATCTGAAAAGGTTGGATATCTGATCTCAGTTATCTGACTGAATTGTCTGTATGTTTTTCTGTCTGTATGTTTTTCTGAGTTTCTAATGGTTGTGATCGATGAGTTTCTGATCTATTGTCAATCTGAAGTTGTATGGTTGAAGTTGAAGTTGTATGGTTGAGATGGAATTGTCACTTTGCATTACTGACTGAAGTTTATATAGGTGACTGAAGTTTATGTAGTTGTAATTGAAGCTGAATGGTAATTTGAGCTTGAACTGTTGTCTGACTAGAGTTGTATGTTTGAGATTGAAAAATTGAAGTGAAAAATTGAAGGGAAAAGTTGCATCACTGACTGAAGTTTATGTAGTTAAAGTTGAAGTTGCATGGCATCACTGACTGAAGTTTGTGTAGTTGAAGTTGAAGTTGCATGGAAAAATTGAAAGGAAAAGTTACATCACTGACTGAAGTTTATGTAGTTAAAGTTGAAGTTGCATGGCATCACTGACTGAAGTTTGTGTAGTTGAAGTTGAAGTTGAAGTTGCATGGAAAAATTGAAGTGAAAAGTTGCTTTCTGTGCTCTCAGCTGCATGCATAAATTTGACTACTTAAGGTGGTTGTTTAGTTATCTGTATTATACAGAAGGAAGACTTGGTCCAGAATCCGTTTTGAGAATTATTTTGTTGAACCTACAAAGAGTGGAAACCAGAGGAAAACAGAGGAATGATTCAGCTGATGTCTGAGTTTTTCTGAAAGAGATTGCTAGTAGTTTTTTTTTTTTTTGCAGCTGAACTTTTGAGTAGAACTGATTCAAGATTCCCAGGCTCAATTTAAGGGAAGATGTTAGTAAAGAAGCAAAATTGATCCTCCCAAGTTTAGTTTGAGGGAAGATGTTAGTAAAAGGGTAAAGGTGTCATTTGGAATACTGTTAGTTGTTAAATACTGTTAGTTACTATTCTGTTTAACTTTCAGTTGAAATGTAACAGTATTAGTTAGAGTATTGTTGCATTTATGTAAACACTATAAAAAGTGTACAGAAGCTAATTTTGTATTAACTGAAAAAGTATCGGTAAAAGAAACATAGTATTCAGCTCTCGTTTCTCTCTCTCGTTTTCTTCTCTGTTTTAGCTTTTTGTTAAAACTTTACCCAAAACATCACATATAGCATATATGCAGTTTTACGAAAAGTTCATATCTGCCATACATTTCAAACACTATGTAGACTTGATTTAGTTAGCCATATCAGATAAGATATTTTATGTCAAGCAGAAGCCTATTCAGCTTGGTGTTTCAAATGATAAGAAATAAAATGGTAAACCCTCTTGTTCATATCATATCATGTATGTCATATTGTACTCGTGCCGATTCAGTAAGTGTCAAATATTTAACACATAATAAAATATTCAAAGCAAGCAGTCAGATGAGTCAGCTTAGTAGTTAGTTAATGTGCGCAGCTCATTCAGCAGAATATATTTCAAATGATCACGCACTTTACTCTTGTGTAAATAATGTTCAGTTGGTTAATGAAAGATCATCTAGCACATTTTTCTCTCTGTTCTTAGTTTACACTTTTCTCTTAATTTTCATATTTCACTCCAGTTCATGTGAAATTGTTATTACACTAATAGACAACTATAACAAGTTTTTACTAGATTTGCAATATTCATAGATAAAAGAAAAAAAGAGTTGATATCTTTTAGCTAAATGTAAGATTGTATTTAAAATAATTAAAAGTATACACGTACTATAAAATTGTTAAGTTAGACAAATGCAATATAAACTATATATTCTTATGGAACTTTCCAAGATAAAAAATAAAAATAAAAAATCATCACACTAAAATGTTACTGAATAACTACTATTTAAAATAGCACGTTTGGATCCAACTCTCTAATGGAATAAAATGGTAAATCCTTAAGAACTACAAGGATCCGATCTAAAAGAGAATAATATATAATGAGAAACTCAAAATATCCTAAAATTGGAAACAAAAACTGCAAATTTAACTATGTATATACGCATGTGGATATGTATTTGGTTTGAAGCACATATGAAGTTTTAGAAAAAGTTATTATCAATGTCAAATACTAAAATATCTTGCAGACTTCATTTATTTGGCCATGTCAAATGAGATATGTTGTGCAAAGCACAAGCCCATTCAGCTTGGGTTTTCAAATTATTTGAGAATGTTAGAAAATGGTTTAACTAGCTACTTAAAACTCTTACCACAGATTCTGGAAGACCAACGTATCGTTGGCACATTATCCAAGGTACCCCTATATTTTGAGAAAGAGCTGTCTGCATAGCCCATGCGGCATATCGGTTTCCTAGTTCTCCGTGATTCATTTGATACCAACCATATTCATTTTCTACCTATGATAAAAGAAAGACATTGAATGCAATCTCAATCTATCAGTTACATGGAAGAAGAAAAACTTTAAATTAAATAGGCATTAGACCAAATGAGCTTTATATGATTGAAAACAAAATATGAAATATCCTTAAAAAACTAATCATAAACAAAAATCCTGTATACATTAGCACAACAATGTGATTCTTGTTGGAGTTGTCGATTACTTCAACATTAATAGGTCTCGTTGCCCGGTCAATGAGAGGGGGCCCTGCTCCCCAATGTGCGAACGGGGGTCGTGGGGGCAGGGCCCTCGAGTCCGTAGGCGGTTTGAGCCTTTTTCATGTATAACCATTGTATGATTTTATTAATTCCTTATTGAGTTTGAGTTTAGGAATATGAATTCTTGTAAAACTAGGTTTTGTCACTTTAAATCTAGTATATAAACATTTTTTCTTTTCTTGTTATGAGTGTAATAGTAATCATATGACAATTCATTCATTGTAAACGAGAGAGGTGAGGAAGTATTGCAATAGTATTGACTCGACTGGACGTAGCCCATATTGGATAAATCAGGGTAAATCGTACATGTTATTTTCTCTTTGTTTACTATCTGTGATTTGTTTTATTGCTATTTTATTCTCGTTGTTGTCTCTATTTTGTTCAATTCTGGTCCATCAAAGTTAAAGTAATTCAGAAATTAATGAGAAGCAAGTTTGATCCTTGACTTCAAAAATTTGGCACTATCTATGATGTAAAGTAACAACTTTTTCATCATAAGCACCCTGAACTGATATGAGTATGATCATATGCAGAACATGTGATGTCTATACAAAGGCAAAAACAATAAAAAATAAAAAATAAAGAGCTTAAATATGATCAAAGTTTGATTTGGATCTTTAGAGTCAAAGGACAGAAAATTTTCCTAAAAACTTTAATTATTTTGGGAAGCAGTAAGCTTAGAAGGTGGAATTAGGATGTCTATAACTTGTACATAGCAGAGTACTGTCAAATTGAATTAGGAAACCAACATGCCTGTGCAAGAATGATGGGACCTCCTTGTGATGCAAAAAACTTCTCCTTCGTCATAAGGTCCACTATGACTGTCATAAACCTCTTCATGTGAAACTGAAGCCTCGCTCAACAAGTATAAAATGGGAAAATCAGTAAAATTTCATACTTGTAACAATTGTTAAATTGTACAGATTAATCCTTTACTTACTATAAATCAATTCGTTACCTTGAAAGGCTCACTATCAGTTCGAAAGAAGCTGCCTGGAATGTAGTGCAAGCAAACAGGTATCCCTCTATAAGATATGATCAACACATTGATCAGATTCCAAAAAAACCAAACAGAATTGAAAGAGGTCATATTAACAAACATGAAATAAAATTCAAGTGCCCCAAATTATACTCAGCAGCAACAAATGGGCCAATTCGCAGAATCATATACATCCCAGCGTCCTGAACTATCTTCACAAACTTGACTAGGTCAAATCGTCCCCCGAAATAATACTTGAAGTTCCAAGTTAAAAGAAAAAAATTAATAATTTAACCATGTTGAATACAAAGAATGCATATCCTATATTTAATATTTTCTATTCGTTTAACTCACTTTGCCTGGAGAAAGCTTATGACCATTCCAAAACACATATGATTCAATAACATCTGCTCCTCCTTCCTTTGCCATTTGCACCAGCCCTGCCCACATCTACGTCATACCAAATTTATTCTCCATTTAATTACATTTCATAAAATCAAGAACCATGAACAGCTAAAAAATCAGCTAGCTAGTCAGACAAACAAACATGTAATGATCATCACCAAGTTTAAGTTGGAAAAGGAAAAAAAAAAAAAAAAAAACAACACCGCTAAATAAAGACTTTAACAGTAAAAAAAGATGACTCATGAGTACTGTGCTGTAGTTTCTTCTATCTTACATAGTCTTCCTAGCAAACCAAAAAGAGGGAAGAAGAGAAACAACCACAATATATTTTAAGTTCATATAAGTTAATTTTTACATGATAATAAACAATAATTCGAGCTTTATGAGTTTGTAGCATACCATTAGAAACTCTGTACTTTACAAAAGGAAAGAAAGAGAAAGAGAGTAACCGCAGGGACGCTCCGAGGGTAATGAATAGAAGCAGAAATGAGAAGCTTTCGTTGTCCATTAATAATCAAAGAGCGTTTATCGAAGGTCACATTTCCTGGTGAAGAGAAGGTTACATTTCCAGCTGAACAAAATGTGGAGAAAGCGGGAGAAGAAGAAGAGAAGTAGTGGGAAGAGCTTCATGTTTGTTTGTGATGAGAATTATGGTATTAATTTGAATGAGATTCATAGAACTAGTGAAGAGTTAAATGATTGCATTGACGTCAACGATAAGATCTCTGCAACTCAGACTCACTTTGAAATTTATTTACTAAATATTCTAATAAAAGTTTGAGAAAATCTTAACCGGCTGATTTAGAGTAATCAAATGATAAAAGTTTGTATTGAGATAGAATTCTATCCAACAGGATATCAAATTTATAAAAATGAAGATTGATTAAAGGGGAAAACAACAATTAAGTGCAATGCATTGAGTGGGATCATGCATAATCTATGAGTGTTACGATTGATCCTCACTTTATCTTATTAATTAGACCTCAATAATCAATTTTTTTTAATTACAAGTTTATCTTTCCCATAATTACTAAAGAAGTATACGTAAACTCCGTCTAGATTAAACCTTTTTGTTAATAATTTAAAATTCCTTTTATTCTAAACTTTTTAAGATATTTACCTAAGGGAAAGAACATGTTATTATTAAACTCTTTGGCTTATTTTATTTTATTTTTCGGTTTTTTCTCATTTTTTATTGATTTAAATTTCTCCAAAATTTATAACTCCGTTTGATACCATTTAATTTGGCTAAGTCGAAGCTTTGCTTGATATAGTTTGTTGGTTATTAGGATATTAAAGTAGTTTGGGATTTACTGATTTACCCTTACCTTGTATTATAAAAGGCTTGTAACAGTGACAGTTATTCACTAAACGAAAATATCAGTCCTCTTCTTCACTTCCTCTGTTTCTTTTCAGCTCACTAGGTTTGCATTTCCTCTCTAAATCAACTTGGTATCAGAGCCACTGACCAACGTCGAAAATGGCCGATCCATCACCAATTTCTTCTTCCTTTGACAAAGCAAATAACGATTCAAGTCTCAAACACTCTTTTGATTCAGTCAATTTCTCCAATTCTTCTTCTTTCTCCTCTTCAACACTTCCGGTAATCTCACCAAAATTGACAAGAGATAACCACCGTTTCTGGAAATCACAGATTCTGTTTGCCGTTGGAGCTCATGGACTCGAAGAACACCTCATTGGACTCGTATCATGTCCAGCACCCTTTGTTCGTGTTCAAGTGGATAGCTCAAGTTCAGAGGTTCACAAAAAACCTAATTCAGAGTATCTACTTTGGAAAAGAACTGATAAATTGCTGGTGAGTTGGTTATTATCTTCAATATCAGAGTCTATGTTTTCTGCGATCTCTAAGTATCAGTTTGCAACCGAGATATGGCTGACCTTGGAAAAAGAATTTCTTACCGAATCGAAAGCTAAAACACTGCATGTTAAGAGTCTATTGCAAAACACGAAAAATGATGGTTTAAGTATGCATGCTTGTTTCCTAAAGATGAAAAGTTATGCTGAGAGTTTGATTGCTAGTGGTGTTATTATCACCGATGAAGAGTTGTTGAATTACATATTGGATGGTTTAGATTCTGAATATGATGCGGCAGTTGTTAACATAACGACTAGGCTTGAATCTAAGGTTGATCCGATAACTGTGCAAGAAGCTCAAATTGTTTTACAGAAGCTAGAACTTAGGCTGGAGAAAGCTAATAGTACAATGAATTCCTTGGTTCAGAATGAATTTCATATCAGTTCAGCTAATATTGCTAGTCTATCTACGAACAATGAACAGACGAAGTTACAATCTGTACCACAATTCTCTACTGATCTAGCTCCAATCTCACAATCTTCTAAGTTCAACCAATCTGGTAACCAATCATACGCTGCACCTAATCAGAATTCAGTAGTGAATGCACCCTCTCAGAATCAGTTCATGCCACCTCAGAATCAATTCTTTACTTCACAATTTGCTGGAGGATATTCTGGTGGCAGAGGAAGAGGTCGTGTAGGAGGAAGAAACAGATTTATTTGTCAAGTGTGTGGTAAAACTGGTCATCTGGCTTTGAACTGCTACCATAGGTTTGATGTTAATTTCTCAGGAAACTCTTCAATGCTACGGAACAATTTTAATCCTCATGGATTTGCAAGAGCACCTGAACCTTATCATGGAGGGTTTTATCCTTCCATACCTCCTCAACACTACTCATAAACTGCCAATACAGGCCAGTTGCCACCATTTCAGAGCCAGTTACCACCATTTCAGAATGTCTATCAGAATCAACAACCTCCATTTTCAACAACCCTTGGAACTTCCTCTAGCAACATTGGCTTACTGTCTAATGCTGGTCCTTCAAATATGTCTAATCAGGTGTCTATGGCTCAGTCTCAGACTTATGATCAGGCACACAATCAGACTCCAGCAGCCATTAACTACATAGCCACACCATCCACTGTAAGAGATGCTGCTTGGTACATGGACTCTGGAGCAACAGACCATGTTACCTCTGATTTTTCCCAGCTGACAACAAGCTCCAATTACACAGGAGGAGAACAGCTTCAGGTTGGCAATGGTGAGTTGCTAACTATTTCACATACTGGTTCTGCTATATTAGCCTGTTCACATAGGAATTTGTATCTTAGAAATGTTTTGTTTGTTCCTAATATTACCAAAAATTTACTTAGTGTTTCCAAATTAACTAGAGATAATGATGTCTTGGTTGAATTTTTCAATGATCATTGTGTTGTTAAGGACAAATCCTCCAAAGCAACCTTTCTCCAAGGAGTTCTTAAAGCTGGTCTGTACCAACTTCAAACTCCAGTCTGTCCTACTTCCATTGCAGCTTTGTCTCCCTCGTTGTCTTCTTCACACAATGTTCAACATCACAGCACCAGCTCTGCCTCATTTCCTTACTCTTCCAATCAAGGTCTTCTTGATTTGTCTCAACAATCACCTTTGATTTCTCCAACTCTCAATAATTGTAATGAAGATTGTACGTTCAATAAGGGCAAAAATTGTAGAGAATACACTGATCTTGCCATGTATTCTAGTTTGTCTATTCCAAGCAATGTACTTTCACACTGTCAAGTGTACTTTCATTGGTTATAGTCTGTATCATAAAGGGTATACGTGCTTAGCTCCTTCAGGCAGAATTTATACTTGTTAAAGTGTCAAGTTTGATGAGTCAGATTTTCCATTTCAGAACATTACCAATTCAGCTCAAGTTTCATCTATTATATCATCCAGTTCTGAGTCATTCCAACCCACTATTTCATCCTGGCATGTACCTACTACAATACTTAATTCTGCTCCTATATTACCTACACCCTCACAATGTCAATCAACACATGATCATTGGAACAAATCATCCAGGATACATTCTCCAGTTTCATCTCAGTCCAGTTCACTTCAGACTTCCATACCCTTTCAGCCTATTGATGTCCAAATTTCTAAAAATGCTTTGTCTTCACTTGAGTTCACAACCTCTAAGACTGAAGAATCCTTGATGTCCCCTGTAACCATCTCCTCTAATAACTCCTTTGAAACTATACCACTTGCAGTTCACTTGCCTTTAGCAGCACCTTTACCTTATGGAACAAATATACATCCTATGTTAACTAGAGCAAAAACCAAAGCCCATAACACTGCCCTACTGACCTCTTCATCCCTGGATACTAAAGAACCAGTCACTGTGTCAGAAGCACTCTCTCATCCATCTTGGAAAGCTACTATGCAGGCTGAGTATGATGCTTTGATATTCAATCAGACCTGGGAGCTTGTTCTAGCTAACTCTGATATGAATCCAGTAGGTTGTAAATAGATGTTTAAGGTTAAAACTAATCTTGATGGTTCTATACAAAGATTTAAAGCTAGGTTGGTTGCTAAAGGATTCCAGCAGACTCCTGGTATAGATTATCTTGAGACATTCAGTCCAGTGGTTAAATCTCCAACTATTAGAGTTATTTTGAGCTTGGCTGTAAGTTTTGGATGGGATATCCAGCAGGTAGATATTAATAATGCATTTTTTAATGGAGATCTTCAAGAAAAAGTCTATATGGTTCAACCTGAAGGATTTGTTGATTCACAACATCCTCATCATGTTTGTAGATTGACCAAAGCTCTTTATGGACTTAAACAGGCCCCTAGGACCTGGTTTGATAAACTTAAGAAAGCATTCCTTGGTTGGGGGTTTGTTCATTCTCTAGCAGATCCTAGTCTATTTGTGTATCAAAAAGAAGGCACATTGATGTATGTTCTAGTGTATGTGGATGACATTTTACTCACAGGAAATGACCCCAATCTGGTTCAGAAAACAGTATCTGATCTTAATACACAGTTTGCATTAAAGGCTTTAGGATATCTCAAGTATTTTCTTGGGTTTGAGGTAACAAGAAATAATACATGAATTCATATGAATCAGGAGAAATATGCAAAAGATCCACTAGTTAAAACAAATATGGTTGATTGTAAGCCTTGTAATACCCCAATGGCTGCTGGAGCTAAACTTGCACTTGAGGACAGTGAACCTTTTGAAAATCCAGCACTCTACAGAAGTACAGTGGGTGCACTGCAGTATTTGACATTGTCTAGACCTGACATTTCTTACTCAGTCAATAAGCTTAGTCAATTTTTAAAAGCTCCTACACAACTGCACTGGCAAGCCTGTAAAAGGCTACTGAGATATCTTAAAGGCACCTCCAATTATGGCCTTCAATTCTGTCCCAATCATAGGCTTAATCTAGAGTGTTACACAGATGCAGATTGGGCTTGCAATCCACTGGACAGAAGGTCAATTAGTGGCTGCTGTGTGTTTTTTGGGTCTAATCTCATTCAGTGGAATTCAAGGAAGCAAAAGGTAGTGGCTCTTTCTTCCACTGAGGCAGAATATAGGGCTCTTGCACAAGGGTCCACTGAAATAGCCTAGTTCTGCAGTCTTTTTTCTGAAATTGGTCTTCAGTTGACTGAAATTCCTATTATCTGGTGTGACAACCAGAGTGCAGGATCGCTTGCCTCCAATCCTGTCTTTCATGGTAGGACTAAACATATTGAGCTAGATGCTCACTATATACGAGAACAAGTTACAGCCAACAAGGTGAAGGTTCAGTATGTTCCAACTGAGTATCAAAAAGCTGATATCTTCACTAAGGCACTTTCAGCTTCCAAGTTTGAACCACTTCGAGAAAAACTTACTGTATAAGCACCTGCTCTTTGAAATTGCATTATGGAATTCTGGTGTTAAAGCTTGTTTGGTACATTGAAGCTGTTTGAGCTGCATTATGGAATTTTGCTTGTTAAAGCTTGTTTGGTACATTGAAGCTGTTTGAGCTGCATTAGGGAAGAGCTGCATTATGGAATTTTACTTGTTAGCATTATTTTGGAGTTCTGGGAAGTGCTGTCTGTTTTGTTTGGAAGCAGGTGGCGTTGAAGTTGCTTGAGCTGCATTAAAACCTGCTGGACAGTTTGCATATTCTGGTGCAAACCTGTAGACCAATTACTACCTGTAGACCAATTGCTTGTCAGCTCCACAAAGGCAGCTAGTGAATGGTACAGCAAGGAATTGATGCTTGGTTCAAGGGTGGATATTAGAGTAGTTGGTAACAGTAATTACTGATAGAAGTTTTGTTTAAGGGA